TGCGAAAAATGTCTGAAAATAAATGAACCAGAAGAAGATTCTGATTGTATCAATCAGAATTCCGGTTATCACACTTGGAATTCTAGCAGACTTGACCAGAAAATTCCGATACTCCATTTTCAACCGGACTTCATTTCTAATCGATCCAGGCAAACATTTTTCTTAACAAATGATTAAAAAAAAGAGAGAGAAAAAAAAGAAAAATCTTGAAACGCTAAATGACGTCGCGATTGAGCGATAAAACCGGGAAATTGCGCGATTTAATTTTTCGCGAGAACGAGAGACGAACGGGCGGAAAGGGGCGGGGAAAAAAAATCGGAGCGACTACACCCTGGGGGCCCGTGGCGAGTAGCTACGCGAGTGAGTGAGTGAGTGCGCGCGCGCGCACGGCCAGATTTCGGTGGCCATATTTGAGCGGCGGCCGCCTTCCTCTGGCGGACGGTTCGCGTACAGAAGCGATATTTATCGAAGCGAAACTGCGCCACGTATGGTTCGCGGCGCATGCAATTTACAAATCTAATGAAACAAATAAGATAAGCGGACGTCGCGAATGCGACGCACCCCGCCTCTCGTCGTGCCTCGCCTTCAGCTGCTTCGGTTAGTTTCGCGCTGCGTTCGGCCTCGTCTCGCCTCGCCTCGTCTCGTCTCGCCGATCACAAGATGTCGGGAACCACGTTGTCGGGCCAGATAGCGACCATCTTCGATCACGTTGCCGAAAGGTGCAACGCGACCGAGAAAGATAAATGCAATTCGTACGTACATCTCTCGACGCAGAGCCCCTCGTCCTTTTTTTCACGCTTCCCGTTTTCTTGCAATCGCTCCAATCTTCGGGCACTTAATTTCACTGCTTCGCGTTTTCGAATGCGCGACACCAACTTCTCACTAGATCGAAATTCATTCCTCGGGGACCAACGAGGAAGGACGAAGCCGAACTTTCGGGGAACGGAAAGACAGATGGGAAAAGGATTTCGATTAAAAACGATGCGTGTATAGGGCGCAGTTTGATAAAAAAAAAAAATATATATATATATATATATGTATGTACAAAATTATATTGCGAAGGTCGTTACGTTGGAGTGTAAAATCAGACTGTAAAACACAGCGCGGTGAGAAAGGTATAATAAGCGTATTTTATTGCCTGAGCGGTAAAAGTGATGCAAGTGTGTAAAATGCGGTACGGGAATTTGCGGGAAGTATAGGAAAGAGGCCGCGGAGAAAAGCCCGGGGATTGAAAGTGGTGGTCGAATCGATCTTCGGAGTGTCGTTTTTTTTTTTTCGGGGAAGGGTGGGACGAGACGAATTTAAAAAAGGAAAAAGGTAGAAAAATAAAAAAAAAAAGGAGGAAGGGACAGAATTGGGAGAGAAGAGAGCGGTGTAAAATGCGACCGGCTAGCGCAGCACGTGCTGGCTACTGAAGGCCGTCCGGTTCCCTCGGCGACGATGGTGGACTTCCTCTCCCTTCTCCTTCCGTTCCTTCCAGCGCCGGTCCACCGGTTAATCCCGCTTCGTTCGTCATCGCGACCCGTCGGCCATTTTCGCGCAATCGCGTCACCGTCCGCCTTCGGCTCGGCTTAGCTTGGCTCCTCCGATTCGCCTCGCCTTGCCTTGCCTTGCCTTGTCTTGCCATGCAATGCCTACCTCTCCCTCGTTCGCCAACTTACCTACCACGCGATCGTATCATAGCGCAGAAAATAGACGAAGGAATCGCGGGACCTTCGGCGTCCGTAACGGTCGTCGAAAGAATTCCGATTGTTTAGACGCGAAGATGCCAACGATGATTTTTCGAAGCAAAGTAGGACGGAGGAGAAAAAAGCCGACGGTATCGATTATTTCCCTCGAATCAGTAAGTGACGACCCGAGAGTATCCTTCCCGAAAAATTAATTATTTACATTCGGAAATATTAATTATGTCGGATACATTTGATGGGAAACGTCGCGTTTCCTTATGGAGACGCTGTTTGCCTTCTAAATAGTTCTCTTCAAGAAACGAATTCAATATCTTTATTGAGCGTGGAAAAAAAAAGAAAAGTAGAACACTCTATCTTACCCTTTTTCATTTTGTATTCCTTGATATCGGTCGAAGTACGAATTTACCGATGTTCGAAATTCGAATAGGATGACTTTACAAATAATAATAAACAAATAACACTAAACATACATATCACACTGAAGTCACGTGTCACGAAAAATTAACGACGCTTCAAATCACTACGCGGAACACTCAATTAATTTTTCGAAGATCGAGCAAAGTATAAAAAAAAAACCGACGAGCGCGAATTCGATTCAATATAAATAATCACAAATAAAGACGAGTGAGAACGAATTCGAGTGGACGAACATTTAAAATTAAAAACGGCCGAAGTAGTTCAGGCCACGTTGCGCTTTTGTTCGAGCAACGGTCCGCGAATTCGAAAATCGAACGTTTCGTAATTTTTGTAGTCCTCGCGGTGGATCTTCGGCGTTGAATTCGTTCGCCGGTGAAGAGACGCGTGATAGAAACGCGCGGATATGTCGGAGCAACAACGGCACCCTGTAAAACCCCGGCTAACGGCACGCGACGACACCGATTCTCCTCGTGGTTTTTAGGTTAGATCAAGCTAGGTTACGTCAGGTTAGGGTTTTTGGAGGGTGCCCTCTTCAGAGCAAGTGCCGAGATTTGCCGACGCCGACGCAGAGCTTAGCAACGGCACGTGAACGCGCGCGCGGGAATATTTCACGGTGTCTTCCGGCAATGTGTTCGGAATGTCGGATTTTATTAAAGCCCGGGTCCACTAATGTAAGATTAACTTCAATTCAACTCTTTATCTATCACATTATTCTCTTGTTCTAAGAATTAGAAAAAAATAAAATAGAATTCCTATGTAAGATTAATTCTAATCTTAATTTTATTTATTCTTTATCTCTTATAATTCTAAGAATTAGGAAAAGATTAAAACAATAAATTAAAACGAGATTAAAGTAAATCTTCCATTAGTGGGACCGAGCTTTGTGCCTGTTTCTGTAATGTAGTTTAATTTTAATTTCGGTTCAACTTTCTATCTTTTTCTAATTCTAAGAATAAGGAAAGAGAAGAAAATTAAGTCGAATCGGGATTAAAATTAATTTGCATTAATAAAAACGAGCATCTGTTTGCGTTGCTTGAAGTTCTTCAAAATTTTTGCAAATGAGAGAAATATGTATTCGGGCGTTGAAGAGTGAAAAAGCGACTTTGAGTGCAAAAGATGCGAGCAAAATATATTCTGAATTTTAATTTCAAAAATATTTTTAAGTTTAATACTTCAATCAATATTATTAAATTATAAAATCAATTTAATTTGCTTATTAAAGTTGCTTCTTCAAATTTTATAATATTCTTAAAAAATAATTTCTTGTTTTAAATATGTAATATTTTTTTCTAGTTATAATAATTTATAATAAGTACATTTTAAGATTATTACAAAGAATTCTTCAAGAAAATATTCTTTTTAAAAATAATTATTGTTTCAAAGACAGTAAATTGAGTAGTTATTTTTCAACCATAGAATTTAACAATAGAATGACATTTTTCTGCGTGCGATATCAATTTAACTCTACACGAGTCATTTGAATCCAAAAGAAAAATTTTTAGAGAATTGTATGATCTGCACTGTAAGTTTCTAAATTGTAGTTAAAAGAACTGTAAACTTTCTTCAATTACATAAAAAAAAACAAAAGTTCAAGTTCATTCTGTACATTAAAAAGAAGAATCTGGTAATATAATAATTACCATTGAATGAAATAATTTCTATCAAATATTTGATTAATACGACTAAAATATAATTTTACTTTTCTGAATATTTGTTAACTGTTTAGTAATAATTACTAAGTATTTAGAAAAGTAAAATTATTTTTAACTTTGAAATTATTTCATTATATTCAACACATTTAGTAACTATTATCAAACTTTTTCAAAGAAAATGCTTTAGAACATTATTAAATTCACAATGTCAAATTATATCCAATTTGTATCATTTTTAATCATTTTTATAAGTCGCTACTGTTCCTATTATGTCGTTGATTTAACTAACAATAGAGTTTTAGACAATTTAACTGAACAAAATGTATTAAATTTGACTCAAATGCATTATTTATTAATTGTAAGTGCATACGTTAATATGGGCATTATTTACTTTAAAATTATTAAGAAATAGATTAATTTGCTTTTTCACATGAAAGTTAAAAATAACAAAAAAAAATGTTGGGGATTGGGTTACCACAGCTTCTTTAATATATCGAACAGTTGTAGTTTTCAGTTGTAGTTGATGATTAATCACAGTTACAGTATTTGCGCGATTGACACTTCCTTTTAAGGTATTTCCATATAAATATCGGATAACGAGAAATCAAAACGCAAACATCAAAAATCTCTCGAGGGAATTGAAAATTCATTCTTATCTAGAAAGCGCAGTCGAAACTGCTGTCTGTTATCTCGACGTGCTATCGCGAACGCGCAAAGTTCAAACGAGCGAAACGAGTGGCGTTTAGAATTCTCGAGGACATTCTCTTAAGAAATGCATCGCGATTCTTACTAACAAATAATAACCATATGCTTGCTTGTGATCGATAGCATCGAATATCTTATACAGATATCGTGCCCTGTGAGTGAATTTCCAGTCGCGAATAAAAGAGAGAAGAAAAGAGAGAGGACGGTTGACGTATCTTTGAGTAAATTCGTTCAAGGCTGCGCTCGCATAAGCGTAACCCGATCCAAAGTCCCAGCGCGTGTAATGGAGAGATATCGCACTTTGTTTCATCCGTCCTCTCTGCAAATTTTCAAGCTATTTCATCGTTTAATATAATAGCTTACGTATGATTAAATATTGTATCTGTATATATGGAGATTGCAAGTGGAAAAAAAGTTTTAAACAGAGTTATTTGATATTCGGTGTTGAAGCGATACGAAATGAAAACTATAACCGGTGAGATAATTTCGAACGAAGGCCAAGTTAAAACTTTCTCGTAAAATGAATCGAAGCACTCACCATCTGATGGTTTCTGCTGTATCTCATTTCTAGGATGCACCACCTCCGCTTCAGTTTTGTCACCGGCTGCGTCACCGTTCGTCTTCTGATGATGGTGATCCGCCGCCTGATTGTGAATGACGGGCGTGGGAGTGGCACCGCGAGAACCAAGACTCTTCTCCCGGGTCTTCCTCTCCTTTTGCTCTTTGGTATTCGAAGGCAGCTCGGTAGCGTTGGGTTTCCTCCTCGGCGGCGAGTTCGATGAAGTTTTTGACACGAGATTAGGGAACGGCTCCCTAGTAGGAACGGGATTGGCGCTCGAGGCAGTGGCGGACGGTTTCGGGATTTCCTGGGTAACATTACTCCAATATGGGGTAGCCGGTGTCTGCATTACATTGGACGAGGCGCTGAGATGCTTGGCGGTCTCAGATCCAGTTCCGCTTGCAGTTCCAACTCCGGCTGCAGTTACAGCGCCAGTAGTTCCGACGGTCTCTGATTCAGCTTCGGCCATCACTGTCGCTGCCACAGACGTTGTTTCGGTGTTAACAATCGGCGCGGTAAGCTGTACGGAAATAGTATCTTTATTCGCGACTACCACCGAGGATACGACGGGTGACGATTCCTCGATCGTCACACTTTTTATTTCACTCCTCGGTTGGAACTCCTTCACGGGGAGTTGCAACGCTTTCGACTCTGTTTTAGCTACATTTGAGTCGCTTTGCGTTACGTTACTACAAGTACCTAACGATGATTGACTATTTATCGTAGGTACCGTTTTGCTAGCGCCAGCACCAGCTATATTTTTTGTCATAGGCGGACTACTGCTACACCGACTATTTGTGTCATTAGCGGAATTGCTATGAATGTTCGATAACGACGTTTGCGCCGTTGTTTGTATTGTATTAGGCGCTGGTTCAGACGCACTCGTCGATACCGTCTCGGACCCCTCGGTCGCGGCTTTTGCGACACGAGCCGCGAAATCGGCTATCACCTCCGCACCGTTATTCTGTAACAATCACCAAATCTGCGTGATAGACGGTGGCACGTACTATTCATTCAGGCATTACGTTTGGTAACTAAAAACTGGCTCCAAACTCAAATCATAGGGCGAGAGAAATCAAAATAAAAGCACTTGGACGAACAAAATAAATATTCAAGACTTTACAAATCTGTCACCCTACAGCCATTCAATCCTCCTTCAAATAATAATATGTATAATAATATGTATAATAATATATAATAATATATATTGGACAAATGTAAGAGAAGAAAAATTGATATCGAAATTGAATGATATTAAAGTTAAATGTCATCGCGGAGATATTTTATATTTATTTAATATCTTACTAATCGATCAATTTTTTTCATTCGAGTGTTATTTCAACACTTGATAATTTGATAGAGGATATGGCTCCCGCGGGGGGACCAGAAACAGAACATACATAGAAGATACTCTTACATTGTGTCGCTATTTATCAAACATAGATAAACTTAATCAATGCTAAACTCTCTTAGCCAATTGTAAAGATATTTTAATGCAACTCACCTGTGGTTGTGGCGTCTCGCGATTACTAGATTCACCACTCTGTGTAGTTTCGTTATCCTTATAAATTTCGTCACTTATATTTTTTCCCGTTAATGGATTTACTATGTCCAAAATGGCATTCTGGCCTCTAGGTTTTCGAGACCTGGTGGTACTGTTAGTGTTTGTCACACCACCATTATGTCCCGAATATACATCTTTAAAAGAAGAACACATATTCCAATTTAGATACAGATCCTGTTACGCAAAAAAAAATAGACCCATTAGTTTATAAGTGTACACGTAATACTGTATTCTTTAGTTATGTCTTTTTGGGTCAAAAAATATAAACAAAGTATTAACACAAGTAATAATATGTTAACTCTCCGCCGACAACAAATTTTTGTTAATTTTTCCGTCAGCAAATGTCTGTTTTCGAAAAATACAGCGAATTTCTTATTTTGTGAATTATATAAAAATCCGAAAAAAATTCTGATATACATGTTTTAACAACAAAGTTTTAACAACAAATATTTACCATCATAGAAATTGAATGATATTTTATTTATTTTCTACATATTTAAAGTTATCAATTTAAAGACACCAGTTGCCAGCGGAAGGTTAAATAGATATCAAGTAAATTTGAGAGCAACCTACCAGTCTGTGACAGAGGTATACCCATCGGAGGCAGAGGTTGGGCTTGTTGAGTAGGTTGCTGAAGTGTACCTTGCGGTACAACTGGAGCACCTTGAGTACCGGCCAGCGGACCTGCGACATGTTGCGCACCACCGCTGACCGCACTTGTACTCGCCCTAGTCAAACTCATTGTGTTTGACGCTGCATAATAATCTGTCAACAGATATAACGGTACTTCAACATAATTACGATTGTATTGACTATTTGCTATGGAACGTGAACCGTTGGTGAACTCACAGCCGTGCTGAGTGGGCGCGTGAGCATATCCAGCGAACACATTTGGCAAAATTTGTGGAGGGGGTTGAAATGTTTGATAAAACGACTGATTTTGTGGCTGGTGCCTTTGAGGTGGACCAGAAAACTGAAAACAAACGGAAAAAATTTGTTATTTTTTATTCGATTGGATATATCTTAAGAGAGTGTATTCGTATAGACAAGTGATGTTTAATTAAATAAAAATATAAATATCAATATAATATGTGTACCTGATGAATCGGTATTTGACTATTCATGGGATACACCGATTGCTGATGAGGCCCCGTGTGAAGACCATGGACTTGACTTTGACTTAAATACATTGCACTTGATGCTTGCACTGGTAAACCAGCCGGATGAGGGTATATAGCAGGCGGTTGCCCTCCGCCTCCACCTACCCCAGCCATCCCGACTACTGGTGTTCCACTGGCACCTTGACCACCTCTGTGACTCAGACCTCGCGGTTGTTGTGGCCTTGGACCCGTTTGATAATAACCCTGTACAAGATTGATGAGAATTATTAATTTCACAAAATCAATTTCTTATTTTAAATTAGATAGATACTTATATAAAGATACAAAAATTGGAATGTTCAGAACGTCCCAAAAAACTTTTAATTTCATAATTCTATTTTTTACTAATATATTATATTACATTTAAATTTACATTATAGTTATATTCTTATAAGATTTAAAAAAAATATAAAAATCATAAACTCAAGATTTAGACAAACTTTTTTTTCTTTTTTTTTCTTTTTCAGAATAAAGTTTTAAAGAAAAGTATGAGGTGCTGCCATTCACTTAAAAGAAAATATATCTTTTCGCTATTACGAGTACATACTTGAGACGCCGGTCTGTTTTGCGTCGGCACGTAAACTTGTTGTAAAGACGGTTGCTGCGTCTGTAAGTGGGCCTGTTTTCCCATTTCCTGAGGCGACGGTGTATGCACAGGTGGTGTCGTAGTAGGCGCTGGACCTTGTGGCGGTTGCGACTGTACTCCAGGTGTCGGTGCCTGCGAGGGTGCTTGTCCTCCAGCGGGACCTCCTGGTGGTATACCCGCTGCAGATTGTCCTATCGTTTGTATACCGCCGAGCGGCGGGGGCCCTCTACCCGTAGGTACTCCTACATTACTCGCGGCGTTTCCACCCACCTGACTCCCTGGCTGGGCACTGTAGTTTCCATGAAACTCCGATCCTGAAACAAAATTTACAACTTACTCAACATGTCTATATTTGTACAACAATTACATAATCATCTAATTCATAGGAGTCGCTATCTGAAAATGTGCAGATCACGACCAGGTGTTTGTTCACGTTTTATAGTACGATAAAAGTACGCGTGGTATATAAAACAACAATTCCCAGTGTTACTCTCACGAAAACTTATTTTCCATGAAACATTTTCATACAATCATCTTATATAATTTATTTTTATTTAAATCTTTCGTAGAGTTGTATAATAACAGGTTGCATAGTTCTCGATCTTTAATATATAAAATATACAACAAATATATAAGAACCGATATTATTATTACATAAAATAAAAACATAGTGTGTATAAAATAATAACACAAAATAAATTACTGCTCTTGTCATTAAAATTTATGTCTTCTGTTTAAACATCTTTTATCAAGCGAATATTATCGCTTCGACCATCGACGCGAGATGCATATACCGGAAACAGAAATGAATCATTATGTTTAGACTAATTAATCTCGTTACATCTAGACGTGACATATCTTGGATTGTTCCGCTAAAAATTAAAAAAAGCCTTTAAGACTATAGTCTTATATACACGGAAAAACTTACCTAAGCAGTAAGATGTAAGAAATAAGGAAAACAACATATGGATTACTATTGCTTACGTTATGGCCTTACAATCTCCATTCTGATAGATTAATTCGCTTACTGCTTACATTTTATTGCTCAAGTCTTCCTGTATGCCATGGCCTTAATGAGCTTTCTACAATAAGCTTAAAATCTTAAACTTTAAATCTTGAGTCGTAAGAAATTGTTCAATTATAGTCGATTATTCTTCTCAAGTTCGACTGCGACAGTTCAATTTCTTACAACTTAAGACTTAAAGCTTAAGTAATGACTTATTGTAAAATGTGTGTGAAAGAGGCATAGTTTCTTGCATAATACGTTATGCATAAAAATCAACCAATCAGATTCTTTTATTTCGCAGAAAGAAAGGATTGGTTCATTTTCTTATGCATTATGCGTTATGCGTTATGCAAGATACTGTGTTCCTGTCCTGATGTACAATTGAAAAGCATAGGCAATAGAAACAGGGAATAACAGATTTTAACCTATCAAAAGTGTATTCTGAAAAATATAGTATTTTGATAGATTAAAATCTGTTATTTCCTGTTTCTATTGCCCGTACTTTTCAATTATATTTCAAATTTAACTCGCATACGTCAATATATATACACATATATATTATATATACACACACACACATACACACACACACACACACCATATAATAAAGAGAGAGATAAATTCGTTTATTCATCTTTAGAAAACGCAAAATCATCGATGCATAACAATAATTGTCGGTTTCGACAACAGAACAGTAAAAAAAAAAAGCAAAATGTGCTACATAATAAAACTGAAATAATTCGTAATAATCTTAAAACTTTAACTTAATCTCTAAAAGCAATTCTTAATAAAGTAAGACGAATCGACATGACAAGAAAAGTATATTCCAAGTTCTTATGAATTAATAATGTACAAGGCGTCAACGCTTACGTAGCATAAATAAGTAGAGTACGGAGAAGCACCCGAAACACGTCGCGTCCAATTTCGATAATGTCTGCTTGACACCTTCGCCTTCGTCCCACTCCGTTTCCACGTTGTAACCAATTAGTAATTACTCGCGAAAGACGAATACGTGCGACTTGCCACCGTTGCACGAAACGTTGACGTCAACCGTTCCCCGGTCGGATTATCAAGATAATAAATCCCGCCGGAGAAGATGGTCGGTCGCGATCCGCGCGGCTCGGACGCGAGGAAAAGTATTTATCTGTCGCACGGACGTTTCCCCATTTTCTTTCTCTGACGTTAAATCAAGGCACGGAGGCAGGGGAGAAACGGACAGTTCGAAGTCGAGGAAAAATATGGGATCGTTTCCCCCATACGTCGTAAGCTCTCTCACCCGTTTGCGATATCGTCCGTGCCTGATCCGTTCCTGATGCGAGCCGCGCGTCTCCGCGCGACGATTCTCCGGATGACGGCCGTGTCGTTACGAAAGCGTAACACCGTAAGCGCGACAACGAGACTCAAACGTGGGCAAACGCACCGACGGTCCGACCTCGCGGACAGCCATGTTGCCAGTTGCACATGTGGGCAGGGACCGGGGCACAGCGCTGCCATCTGTCACGTCGCCGAGGCATCGATTCGCAGCAGCCGTGAACGAAGCGACCCCGCCGGAAATGCGCGCTACTCCGCTACACCAACACGCGTTTCCTGTACCTTACGTTTTTACGTTTCGATCCGAATAGATTTCGATCGAACGAGCGACGTCAATCTCGCAAACGGGAATCCGAAAATTCCGAAAGAAATGCAGTCTCTTTATTATCCTGATCTTAATCGACTTTTAAAATAGAATTTAATAAACTAATTTTATAATCTGATCTAATTATTAGTTGTTTGTTTGTTTGTTTGACCTTTCTACCAATTTTATTATTTGCGTTGTAATTTTCAGCTAGAAAATTGATATTATTCCTAAAACAATTTTACATCTCTCAAAGGATAAAGATTATGGCATACAAATAAACTGGAACAATAAATAAATCAATATTTTATAATTTATTATCAATTAGATTACTTCTTTTATTATATTCTGTGATTAGCGAACTGTCGTTTACTGTTTATGTTTTGTTACCTAAGTGATCAAATATTCTCATATTCGATTGTGAATAATCAATTCTTACAACTATAGTTACGTAATTATTATAAAATAAGCTTTACGTTGTTTTACGTGTCATAAAGAATCTACAATGGGAATAATACGGTATAATAATGCTCGTTTTTATCAATGCAGATTAACTTTAATCTTGATTTAATTTTTTTTTAATTCTAGGAATTAGAAGAGAACAACAAATAAAAATTAAACCGAGATTAAAGTTAATCTACATAGATAAAAATAGATGTAAGTTGTAAGCCATAAAAAACTGACCAATCACAGCCAAACATGAGAAGAATAATCGATCACGATTGGTCAATTTCATACAATTTACTATACAAATTTACTTCCATTGTAGGCGAATCATAAATTTTCGAGAGAAGCGCTGCAAAGTATTCGTGTCATTTGGCGAAATAAACATCACACTTTTTACACGATACGAGATATCTTTCCTGTCGCATCTCGTGATGGATCACGAATCAAAAATTATGGAGCAAGGAGAGAAATCTCGTAGCGTAAAGAAGTCCGCATTGCTTGAGACTTTGAAAAATCGTTGCCCTTAAAAGAAGATAAATATGTATTCAGGCGTTGAAGAGAGAGAGAGAGAGAGAGAGAGGTCGAAGATGACGAGTGCAAAAAGTGCAAGTAATGCGAACAGACCTAGGAATGCATCTCGCGCGGACTCGCGGAGTACCAAGTTACGATCGAGGAAGGAAAATGGGGCCTAGGGTACGCGCAATCGAGAATGCAGAGCGCCGCGCCTGGTCTCGCCATACGTCATTTCCGGAGATGAATGACGTATGCAGGTCTCTCACATCCCACCCACCGAATCGCCGATCCCCTCGGCGCCGAACGATACGATGCGATGCGATGCGATGCGATGCGTCGCGCCGTGCTCGACGCGCGCAACGATTCCAAATAGACTTTGATTCCGGGTGTAACGTTAACGAGCCTTAAACGCGCCGATCGGAAGCGGTACGGCACTGCGCGAATGCGGAACGCCCGAGAGTCGCGAGAGTGGAGGAGGGTTAAGTTAGGTTAGGGTTAATCTCGCCGCTCGGGAAGCCACGTGGCGCGCGCGGCATCGATATTATCAGGGAAACGAGAGAGAGAGAAAGAGAGAGAGAGAGAGAGAGAGAGAGAGAGAGAGAGAGAGAGAGATCGTGGAAATGTTGCTCTTCGTAAAGCTTCGTGTCCACGATGCTATATAAATCGCTCCGAGGTCTCGGATGGAGAAAAAATTAACGAATCACATTTAAACAATTCAGCCAATTGACTACTGTCATTGCTTTCTCCATCCGACATTTCGGAACGATTTTTAGTATTGTGGAGAGATAAAAAGCCTCTTCCTTAAACTTTTTACATACTTCGTCTTTTTCTTTTTTCCTTTAAAAGGATTCTTTTCACGTTGAAGAAAAAAGAAAAATAAACTATACTAGAAGTTTAGCTAAAAAGAACAGACCAAGACATATCACAAACAAGGTTCTCGATGGGTTGAAAGTTAAACTCAAAAGAACATAAAAAACATGTAAAGAGAGGTCGATAATAATTAATAAGTCTCAGTCCTGTGCCTTCTCTTTAGCTTCACAATTGATTCCTTTTTCTTTAATGTCAAAAGAAAAGGATTCTCTTTAGGTTGAAGAAGAGAAAAAAAAATGTAAACTATGCAAAAAAAACTCAGCAGAAAAGAACAGACCTAAGACTCATTTAGAAATTACCGACCTCTTCCTATCTTTGCATATTTTTTTCTATTTTCTCGCAAGATACATTCAAGAATCTTTTTTTCATGAAATCAGAACAGACGTATTTTCGTCCGAGTGTTGTATCATCTTCGATACAAATGATTTCTATCTTTGTTACTCAATGGAATGTCAAGAAAGATAAAAGAAAGATATTTGTCTTACTAAATGGAAAGTATCCTAAGTTTTGTGTGCCACGGTCCTTAATTTCTTGGCTGGTCGTCTGGGTTCATCTAGGCGATGCCATTGAAGATTTTAAGAAGAAAGACGTCGCGAATGTAATAAACGAACGACCGACAGTCGATGTCACATAGTAATGAATGATATCGTAGAGTCGCGAGGCGGAAACTCGCCGTAGATCGATTTGTCAAAGATTGTCTTCGCGCCATTAATCATACTTTACCTAATATTTCGATCATTAGATCGTCTCAAAGGCTATTTCCTTTGCAAGCAGAATATTAAAAAGAAAACTTTACTTTGGAATTTAACGTCAAGTTAGTGACCGAACACGTCAATAATGCGCGATAAGACGAGTTTGAAAAT